TCAAAGTTTGTCAAGTTAGCAACATTAGCATCAGTTTGTTCATCAAATCCTAGGGTTGTATAATACGGTGCATCAGTTGGCTCTTTGTTTTCCGGCTTTTCAGTTGCTTCTGATGGTTTGGTTGACTCATCTCCACTTGTTGTCTCTTCATTACCCTCTTCAGTTGACTCTGAAGCAGTTGTTTCTAAAAATTTAAATTGGCAATAAATGTAATCAAATATTTTCATGCATATGCATGTCAAACAGTAATCATGTTTATCTATTAGTATGTCTGATTAATTATCATATTAATTTTATATATCACTTTACATCCCTATATCACTTTTTTTTTTTGCATCTGAATAGCATTTTATTCCATTTGTATTTAAAATAACAATTATTTACTTCATTTCAAGTAGTGTACATTATAACATTTATTTGTCACTTGATGAAACTTCACCTATGAAGTGTTTTTTCAGGTTAACACGTTTTGTGCTCTATAAATTTCAAAAAATAATAATCAACCATGAATTACTGGTAATTAGAATTGTTTATCTGTCAAAAACTTTTATATAACCATGCAAAACTTTTATTATAAACTGTCCTTCATTAAGTAAAAAATCATCTGTGTAAATCTCATGCAAGGTCAATACTTGAGTCAGCGACTGAGACTGGTTAACAGATTGTATGAAATATTGTCTTTGCATGCAACTACTTCAAGACACACCACATGCATTATTATAACTATAGACAAATTGTAATGCATTGGTTCATTAATTTTGGATAACCATTACTAAATTTAACATTCTACATCTTGCTCTGATGCAGTTGATAACGACGCTAATACCAAGACCCAATAAGAATGTGCACACCAATTTTACATGCCTACTCTAATACAAACAGGTATGCATTAATTAACAGGCAAGTTATATTAGTGTTGCAGTTGCAGCATTTAAATAAACAATAGTGTACACAACAATTCATAAGTGTGTAATTATGATGAACTGTTACTATGACAAATACAAATGAAATATTAGTAAGAATCACATGATTTAAGAGATTACAAGTCATTACATTATAAAACAGAACAATGACGGTGTTATAATAGAGGACATGATCTTTCACAAAAACAAAATAATTCTTAAAAGCATCACTAGGGGGCGCTTCAAGATACATATATACCACAGCCATCCTCTACTGAAGATAATTTGCTAACAGCACCCCCTAGATCTACACACATGTACTGATACATTTCAACACATTTATCAGTGAGTGAAATATATAGAAGATTGTGTAATATATAACTGTGCATTTGTAGGCGTGTTTTTCAGTGATCTCAGAGCACATACAACAATGACACAGCACATTCATTTATAATGTATATAAGTTAAAGCGAGAGGGTCGTCACCTGCACACGCGCGGGAATTGAGTCCCAAACATCGATAACAACACACGCTAAAAACGCAAAGGCTCATAGGTAGACGGTTGTTTGTAAACAATGACACGTTATGGCCATCTGACATATGCGTAGGTGATCACTCCCCTGCTTGAAAATGAGTTTCATTAAAAGGTGTGACGAACTGATGTGGTAGACAAGTTACAAGCAGTTAGTGTGCCAAGTATGAATGATTATGAGAGATACAAAATTAACCCTTTGAGCGTTAAAGTCATATTTTCTCATATTTTCCAAAATTTTAATCAAACCTTTAGCAGTCAAATTGTGACCATGTTGCCAAAAAGTATCGCCAAAAAGTATCACCAAAAATATATGATGATGTTCAAAGTGTTAATGTATCACTCAATAATCTAGCAACTGTATTGATTCAATGACCCACATGGACACAATGATTATTTATTGTTAAAGCATTTGTGACAATTATTCAGACTGATAGCAAGATTGCTTGCAACTTTGCGAAAGACCTAGCATTTGCTTTTTCCAGACTTTAAAGAACAGTTGCTGATGGCTCTAGTTCATAGGAATGGTCAACATGATGATTTTAAAATCAGACATACCCATTTTTAGTAACTTGTGTATTATAAAACACATCAAAATAACCTGTTTGTGTATTCTAATGAACATGTATC